TTTTTACTTTGTTGTTGTTAATCTTCAGGTTGTAGTCGTCCTTGGAGATATCTCTCTCTAAGGACTTGATCATTGTTTGTATGTCGATGACATCGTCCACAAATATTGGTGGGGGAGGGGGGATTCTCTGTGCTTGTTGGTTTGGCGGCGGGTCTGCGATTTCCATGGCGTCGTTAGTGGATTGCAATACGGCGAACCTGTTGTGGTTGTTTATTTGTATCGTTGATTGTTCGTTCCGGGTGTCGATCGTGTTTGGTTTTGATGTTTCTATTTTCCGTTTCTTTGTAATATTAGCGTCGTTGGTACGGAGGGTTCTGCTGCACTTCTGCCACGGGGAAGGTAGCGCGGTGTAGTTGCGAGTTTGCTCAGGAGAGCCTGGTCGCGATTGCTGGGCCATCATCGAGCTAGTCAATTCAAAATGAATAACTAGTCGTGAGGCTATGAGGCTAGTATTCGGGTTGGGGTTAGGTGCGTAGGATTTTCTTCTCCCCAAAGGGTAGGAAACACTTGGCTGTGTTCACTTTCGATGGTTGGGCGACACGTGTTGTTTTCGGACTTCACTGGACATGTTTAAAAGGACGAGGAAGTTCAAAGGAGAAGGAAATATAATGCACTATGAAGTAAACATTTTATAAATTCATGGAAGCTCAACAGTTAATAATAATTATACATGATGTGGATCTGTATTAACCTCCTAGGCACTATGCGCCATTATAGTGGCTTTCGCGGATGCATCTTATATTACGAAACACTACTACAGTGGTTCTTATAGACTTATGCGCTCACGGTTTAAGCTAAATGATTTTTTTCAGTTGTCTTGCTTCACACTTTTTTGTCCTCGTAACGTTTTACAACAGTGCTAACAATATACAGACAGAATGTATAGTCTTTGTTTTTCACATAACACAAACAAGGTAAATTAAATACCTTGGAATCCACTTAGACACACAACTTACATAGAAGCAACATATGAATTCAATTATAGACAAAATACGGATAAAAAGAAGACAGATGTATTGACTAACTAGTCGGAACTCTAAACTTAGCATGGAAAATAAACTAAAAATCTACAAAACGATAATAAAACCAATTTGAATGTACGGAATGTACGAGGGACGAATGTGGCAATGAGCCACATAAATAAACCAGAGTCCCTACAATCGAAGATGCTCGAAACACTAATCAACGCTCCATGGTATGTCAGAAACGAGGATATACGCAGACCTAAAAATACCAATGGTCAAAAAAAAAAAAAAAGAAAGAAGTTGGCAGATACGCAAAAAAAAATACAAGGAAAGAACGACAACACATCCAAACCAGCTGGCTGCTGAAGCGAGCAAAACTCTCATAAAAAGAAGACTAAAGAGAAAACAACCCACTGATCTCACTAAAGAAATAAAATAGAGAAACTCAAAGATGGTATCCCGCTGGGGGTAGCCATTCACATGTAATTTAGCAATAAAGCTAGAAAAATTTACCAAATGTCCAACTGGACAAATTGTAAAGTACAAATTAAATAATAAGAATTTATATTTTATTTTATATTATTTTAGAATTTTATTTTATTTTATTTTAGAAATAATAAGAATGCGTAATTCGCGTCAAACTCTGCCGTACAGAGAAACAGCCCCGCGCAAAATTCAGCCGTACCTAAGAGGTTAATGAGCTCTACAAGTAAAAACATAGCTGCGAGAGGTTTACTTTCCTAACACGGGACTTGCTATAGTTCTGTTTCTAGGTTTTTGAAGTAGTCATTGAAGTAGTCATAGTAGTCAAGATCGTAAACGAAGCCGTGTTGAGGGTAAAAGCATAAAATTCTTTGGTATTCCGCAAGGTGAAACAAAGTATGTACGTATAACAATTATATGCACGCGGCTTTCGTACTTGGAAGAATTTTGTACACCAATTTTTAAATTTAATGCTGTTCTTAAATCATTAAATATTGTAGCGGGCAGAGTTGTCATAGTTTCTAGGAACGCATTCCGTCGTGGGGGATATTTGTTCGTGCACGCGTGTTTACTCTGGAGAGAGACACATCGCTATGTCCAAAGGCAAAGACAAATACATACACATTACTGAAAATTCTCAACGCGAGAATTGATTGTAATTTTAATAAATAATAATAAAAAAAAAGAAAAAAATACATACACAATACATACACTTCTGAATCAAGGCAGAAAGATGGTCGTCACGGATACGATTACGGGCCTTAATCAGAGAAATACACGAAGAACGTAAATGGCCACTATTCGCAACAACGAGTAAGTTACACTGCGATTTTTCTTATATACCAAACAATAGTTGTACTGTTTACAACAAGTGTTAGTTAATAAATTATTTCGTTTTAAGTAAAAGACTAATATTTATTTCCGTAATTGAAAAAGCACTCAGAACCGCCTTACATCTATTAGATATCTACCGCGTTCACTTGTAACTCTATAACTAAAATCTTTTAACCAGAATCCAGTGATCCAACCATAGTAAGGATGAATTGCACAAGATCGCCCGATAATAAAGGATCACAATACGTCATACTATCCTAAAAAATTCCAGTCCTAACTATAAGTGTAATATTGTTTTCATACCGAAGACTAAGCAAACGGGACGTGAAAAACAGTTGTGTAAATTCTTCTGACAATTTCGCGAACCTGATGTCGCTGTGCATTAGTCTCCCGGTATATGTCCCGCAACGAACCTGTCAAGTGAATCGCGGTTACATAGAAAGGTGGAAGGCCACCTTTTTCCTTGGAGTTTCGTTAAGATCTTTTACTTGCCTATCCCTTCTGAAGTGATCTACGTTCGACGAAACAATTCCCATTGCAATTTTATTACCGCGTGCACATCGACAAAATCCCAGCTCAAGACTTTTCTTGGCGTCTCGCTGTTATACTGCCCACACAACTACTTACACCTCGGAATAAAATGGAATCTCTTCGCCAGGAAACTGATCAGTCGCGTACGTATGAGCGACATGGATTAAAAGTTGTGTTTATAGCCGCCTTGCGTCTATGAACCGCAATTAAAAAGTTATACCTTTTTTGCTGGAAAAAGTCGAGAGGCGACAATACAAGAAATATGAAAAATAATTGTGATCAGTATATAATAAGTTATATAAATATAGAATACACCAATATGATCGCCGATTTGGGTCGACAATATGGCATATGATCGAATGATAAAAAATAAGAAAACATGCTTGGGCTTTAAACGCTATAATTCCTTGGCTTCCTTAAAGCTGCGTTTTCTGAGACATTATCGTAATTTCAAGACCAATCATTCGTCAACAGACGACCGTAAATGATTCTTCCAAAACAGCCAAAAACTATCACGATTAATTGTCAGACCAAAAGTCAACATTCAAAATAAAGCCTTAGGATGTTATTCGCAGGAATGAAAATTTTATAGAAATTTGTTTTTCTGTATCTATAAAATCAAATTCCTTACGTAATGAATAAAAAATTTTCTTAAGATAAAGAAATTTAAATAAGCGACAGATTTACTTTTAAGATTTAGAGTTCTGATATAAATTGTATCAGTTTCGGGGATTTATTAACGTAAAAGTTATGTTTTATGGTACTTTGGTGTATATATCACCAATTTACAAAATTTTATTAACAATTATCACGGAATACAATCCTATGTTTGTTTAAAATTGTATATGAGTCGTTTTGTGTTGGAAGAAGATTTTGTTTTATTATTCGTTCATTTTGATATTATGCAAATATTCCCCACAATTTTAATATTTCATATTAAAATATCCAGAATATAAATTTGCGTTAGCGATGAAAGATTCATAACAATATAAAAATTTTTGCAAATTGCACAGCAATTAAGTTATGAATTCAAGCAATATTTTATAAAATTAATACATTTATATTTCTGTTGCATATTATGCGATAATACGCTTCACTAGAAGCATAGAAATAATAAGACAAAAGGCAAAAGGAAAGTACTTAAATAGAGCTAAAACTGAATAAGAAAAATTGTGACCAGCTGGGTAACGTGCATTAATATTTTAAGTACTTGTAATACCAGTTGTGTAAATAACTCTTTCAGCACCCCTGTTCAAATTTGTATTCTCATCGACGGTAGTGATCGGTTGGCTCATGGCTGGTGGAGGCATGGCGAAAATGGGTTGTTGATTTGTCGAATTATTTTGCGGACCACCCTGTGGCTGTGCTGTAATCGCATCGTCATCACTCTCCTCTTCCTGTAAAACAACAATCAGTAAGAAATATTTAGTCTTCTATAGCAATCATAATTTCCACTAGTAGACCTATATACAGGTGGTCGACATAAAACATTAGAAGCCGGTTTTTCGAAAACCGTAACTGACATCGACTAATTTTCTTTTTAATTTCAATGGTACGAAAGGGCTGATTATTATTTGGAGAACAACAGGTTTTTCCGAGAAGATTGCTAATATATCAAGAGGACATTGTTTTTTCCTCATTTTTTTAAATGTAATGCAATAATAATTTCTGTCCATTCAGATAGCTCTTAAGGAATTAAATAATGTTTACTTGAAGTATTTTTTATTATTCTGCGTAATTAAAGAGTTATGACGGAGGGAAGATCTAAAGGACTACGCAGAGGCATCGAAGCGTAATTTAAACTTAAGTAGACTTATTCCGAGATAAAATTCATTTTATTAAGTGTTCGAAATAAAAGTTACCGTTTACTTTTAAACATTTATAAGTTATAAGTATGACATTTATCACAAAAGAAGATATAAAGAGAAGAATATAATATACTTGTAAAACCATAACTGCAACAATATTCTCAGATGTACGAAATAATGTCATACAAGGAATAAATAAATGCTTAGAAGTGAACAATCATCATTTCGATCACTTAATAAAATAAATTTTACTTCTTCCCGTCATAGCTCTCTAATTATACAGAATAACGAAAAATGCTTCAAGTAAATGTGGCGGCACTCAACAGCAAATACCATCACTCGACACTAACTAGCGTAAGATGACGGTAGCACAGTGATTAGCGCCTTAGGTTACAAACTTCGCAACCCGGTTTCAAATCCCGGAACCTAATTAGAAGCACCTAAATTAGAAGAAAAAAAGTAGTACCCCATCAGCGACATCTACAGCCAGCATTCTACAAGAGTTATATCACGGACAACACTTTTACGCCTCATAAATTTATTCAGTTTTATGAGAATTATCTAAATAGACGATAGAAACATATCGCATTTTATTTAAAAAAAAAAAGGTGTCTCCTCTTAGTACACTAGCAGTCATCTCAGAAAAATCTCTTGTTTACTAAGTTAATAATCAACCCTTTCGTATCATTGAAATTAAAAAGAAAATTAATCGATATTAGCTATGATTTCCAAAAAAAACAACTGTAACACTTTATGTGGACCATCCTGCATATACGTCAGGACGGATTAAACTATATGTTTTTCTTATATTCAACTGTCTGCGAACTATTTTTAAAAGGAATTGCACTAGTTAATTTTATTAATAAAATCTTGGTACTTTCGTACTGCTCAGTATCTCAAAACTCGATTACATTGAAACCACCTACACATATTTTACAGTCCAAAATTCATCAAGTCTTGGTTGACAGCACTATTAATCAGAACAATATTGCAATAGTATTAAGACCATGTGTTAAAAGGTATTAACGGACGATATTACATAGTCATACAATGTTTATGTTGGTCATTCTAACTGTCGCTTCGTATATTAAATCATAATTTGTGCTAGAGTTAGAAACTTGTTCAGTTCGATGGATTTGAGCAGATTCTTTGTGGTCTCGGACAACTGATAACGAGTATCGTTTATACTTGATGGACCATCCAATTCTGACTGGCATTGTATAAGTCTCTTTATTGAGAGTCACAGTCTGATTGAGGTTTAGATAAGTGACTCTAATAGGTGATCTTTTGACTTTGATTATAAACTCTGACTCGAAACTATCTTGCTAATCTCAGCCGCCCTCTCCAGGAATCGTCCTCTTAATTGAGAATTTTTAAGGTTGCTGATTAGCCTGTGTTCCGAAAAACAATAATTAATAATTTATGGAGTGAGGGTAAAGCGATCTCAGAAATTATGGAGGTAGTTTTCCCAACACTGTGAAATTTCTTCCCAGTCTCAACAATTGGTACCTGGGCATTGACGTCGGCTGAAATCCTAGTAACTATATATATATGTCAGGTTTATATTAAAATTAGGGTTAGGGGCGTGAAACGAAACTTCGTTTGGATTACACATTGTCGTTATGCAATAGAGAAGACATTGACTAGTGCAAATACGATTATTATAGAATTGGACAAGTAACCGTGGTAATTAGATACTCGAGAAACTAATGACAATGATCCTAGGTTCAATAACGAATCCGCGGTCAACGGGATGATAGATGAACATGCTCACAAAATCTAAGTCGGACTCTTTGTTGAAACGTGGAATATCCACCAAGCGTACAGATACTAAGTAACTCGCTAATACGACCTCACGAGAGAATGACTTTCCGTCGCGATGATGCTGCGGAGGAAAACTATGATGGGGTGTCTCTAAGGACATGAGATCATCGGATTCGTCGAGGATAGCCTTCGTTCAGAAGACGAGGGAAATTGGCGTTGCTTCTAATTGGTCAATCTCCATATCAGTGGTTAAAAAGAGATGCTAGCCGCCCTTGAGGGAAAGTTGCTAGTGGGAGACGTCATTCGTTGAAAAAAAATAGATCTCCTCTATCTTCCCGTAGTTGGGACAAAGACTGTTTGTCTGTTTGAAAGATTTTAGGTAACTAGATCTTAGTGTTTATAACGGCCCTCGGGTTAGCTGATCACGTACTGTGGAGACGCGTCGGCATCTAGTAACCATCATACCCGAAGAATAGGATCTGTGTGTGGCGAAACCGTTGTAATGTTTACTGTTGCGTGCCGCTACAAATATTTCTTTTAAGGAGAGCTATAGAATTACTCCATACCTTTGTTAGGCAAAGCGTTCATCCCGTGACCGCAGCTACGTTTGGCGACTGGCTGTCGCCCCGAGCCCAAGCTCATTATCACAATTCTCGAACAAATACAATTGGATCGAAAGACGACAATTGTTTAATTACGCCTATGATAGAATCTAGATTACGATGTTAGGGGACTATCCCGAAGTTCCAAAGGGGAGGCTTCGATGTCCTTTCATCTCCGACATATATATATAACTATAGAATAACTATATATATCCTAATAAGCTATAAATACCATAAAATGGCATCACGAAGAAAATGCGAACAAATTGAAATGAGTTCTGAAGAAAATCGTGCCTTCTGGAAGATTCTATTATAATGTATTTGAATTTTCCATGTTTGTGGAACATAAAAATTAAATACCACATTGATATTTATTTCTAGCAATCAACTAATTTTTTAGTCTCTTTTTTAACTTGTATCTCTCCCTGCTTAATATACATATATAGCTACCACTGTACCTAACAATTGCATTTTTTTCGTACACCTAGGTGTTAAAACGCTATTTTACTACTTTAAACTTCCGCTAGGACGAATTTGACGAACACGCTATCACTGTACAGAGCAGTCATGACGCGAATGTATAATACTTCATCGCGGACAGAGCGTAAAATTTGAAGTGTAACTTTGTTATGTCATGTAAACTAGCAATTTCTTATTCAAATAGTTATTCACGCAATCGTTATGACATAAACAAAACAATTTTAAAAAAAGAATGTCGAAAATCTTCGGGAAAAACAAGCTATGCTCTGCTTAACTAAAGTTGTGAATTGATAAAAAATTTGAACGAGTGACTAAAGTCACTGGTAGAATACAGTGAGCGTGTGATAATTGGTGACTATAGCTAACGTTAAGAACGAAAGGATTAAAACTGCTGATTGTGAATTGATATCACGATACCCAGTTTGTCACGTATAAGACCTCGTCTACAGGCATGCTCCAAGATAAATAAAGACCGCTTCACGCTCTAAGACACTCATGACTAATTAAATACAATAAATCTATCATCTAAGATGAGATGTTAATCACAGTTCATTTGAAGCTGTCACTATGGTTTTACGCCGAATATCAAATTTCAAATTGTTCAGACCGCAGTAGGTTCTCATAGAAAATAGTCACTATTAGCGAAATTTTTTATTTAAGACACAAAAATTGAATATACATTATACTTTTTTAATTAGAAATCATATATAGATATAAATGATATTTCCTATCGTTAAAAACTATATATAGCGTGCAACATGACTCGATCAAACTACGCTATTTCAAAATTTAAATGTTTATAATTTATGAGGAAATAATCACAAAACTGTTTTAGATAAAATGATTGATATTTTGAATTGATTGGCACTTAATATAAATTAGCGAGTCATTTATTTCACTTACGATTAGATTCTAATTAAAACTCTTTCTATGGGCCCCTGTTTCATTTTCTACGAGAAATAATCAGAAATCATCTCGGATTACAGATTAAGACTTAGACAATTTAAATTAAAATCAGTTATCTGGTTTACTACCCGGCTTTCATTCTATTGAAATAGTTTTATTTACGCAAATCAACAATCTCTAATGTGATAAAAAAAGTTAAAACAGATCTTGTTGCAATTTAACAGTTCGATTGAGGAAAGCTGCTCATCAAGCAGATCTGATAAACCGATAGAGCTCACCATAAACGCTTCCTTAATGGAGAAATCGTCTACGTAATATTTAACCTCGTACAGAATATAAGAATTTACCTAGTGTCTACGTAGATAAATTGTAAGGGATTTCGGTATTGAAAAAACAGAAAAAAGATGTATCGAAAATGTAGCTTATGTGAAATGAAATACATTGTATAGAAACGTTAATTTCCACTCGATTTCGATCATTTTTGGATTAGTTGTAGAAATCGATATTTTGAATAATATTTTTCCTATATATATTTGAAATATTTGCGATAAACTGTCAGTATCATTACAGTGGATTTTGCCTATAGTTGTGCACTTCTGGCAACGTATGCGTCAATGTTGGTTGCCGGCTGTCGGCCGCCGGCCACTTATCTTCTGTTTCTAAACGAAGGTTGGGCGATTTTAAAGGCTTTATACACAACGTACATATGCGAGACTGCAAGAGTCTGTTATAATTTTACAGCTTATAACTCAATTAAAAGTAAATATTATCAATGTATTGGGTTTAGGTTAGGGATTAAGCAGCCGAAAAAATTAATTGAGTTATAACGCACATTTTTCGCAGTCTCACACATGTGATTGGGGCTTTTCAGCTTTCCTGATTCTGGTTTGTAAACAGAAGATAACTGGTCGGCGGCCAACAACTAACTGATGCATACGCTGCCACAAACACACATCTAGGCAAAAGTACATCGTAATTGTGCCGGCAGTTTTTTTTGGAAACTAAGCAAGTTATACATATACATATACACCCCTTATACATATAGGAAAAAGTTGTTCAAAATGTTGAGTTTTATAACATATTCAAAAATCATTGAAATCGTAGGGTAATTAACATTTTTACAGTTTCATCAAGAAACACAAAAAGTACAGAATATAGCATTTATACAAATATCACTGGAACTTTGATATAATTAAATAAATTATATTATTACGAGAAGGTAATCTATTTGCATAAGTATTAAAGTTCATTTATTACGAAATTATGATCAATTATTAAAATGTTACATAAAAAACCAGCTTTTGTAAAGCGAAATGCCTAATGTTTTAGAACTTCTTTATTGATGTTAGTCTATATTTTAAAGTCAGTTCAAATAAAAAAACACTCATATCAGTCACAAACTCTGTTTATCAAACTTAAAGCATCATGTTTCCCTTTAGTTAATGCATACAAACCTGCAATTCTCGTTCTGTATATTCCGGTATGGAGACCAGAAAAAAAATGATGAAAGAAGAAACGAAAATGTTCAAGAAGCTGGTATGAAAATGATCGAGAAACGAACAATATGTATTCTGTATGTAAATGTTTGTCTCAATGGTTCTCATTTCCTCCTGTTATAATACATAATATATTTTTTTTTCTTTTTATGATGTAATCTTATTTCTACTTTATAAATCCTAGTATAAGTCACTAGAAATTACAAGTTAGTATAAAAACATATCAATGTACTAAATGAAACTATAAATATTGTGTTTTCGTAACGAACTCGCGATTTTTAAATTTCGTAAATTATATGCAAATATAAAATGAGAAACATATAATTCTGTATCATGAGACAAAAACAATTTGCACGATTGAAATTAATTAAAAAATAACATTTAACAAGCATAAACGATTATTAACGGTTAAAGAAGAAGAAAACATATGTTCGCTATTAAAAAATTCTAGTACTACTTCCATAATTATCAACAGGATTTCTTAACATTTGTCGCAACTAAAACAAAATTCAGACACATTTCTTAAATAAAATTAGAGGACTAAGAACCACTGATACTGGAAAAAACTTACCTTAACCAGGCCTCTGGGCTGATTCATCACGACATTTGCCTCTGGGTTCTGGTTCCGCTACAATACAACAACAACGTAAACAAAACCGCTAATCTATCGTATTCTAAAAAAAAAAAAGGCAGACGTAAAATGTGCATGCTAGGCTAAATTAGACAGATTTCACAAATTACAGATTGATGATGTATGACAAATATGAAATGACTGATCAAGGAAATAATCAATTACATTAAAAGTGCACTGAATTGTCGAGAAATAAAGAAAAAGAAATATTACTTTCTTGTCCTCGTAAATCTGTAAAACCAGTGTTAATAAGAAGACGTAATTTTGTAAAACAAGTGCAATATTTCTGAAACGAAGCACGACTTCTTAATTTTGGCAGGAGGATGAAACGATATTTTAATTTGAATATATGTAACAAAACTTCTCGTGTTATAGTTTCTATACCCTTCCTAAAATGAAAAGCATACAACCAATTATAGGTGTGTATGTATTTATAAAATAGCCTTGATCTCACAAGAATGGGTTGCGATCTTGACGAGTGTTTTTTGAATATTGCTAATATATATATTCAAATATTAACAAATAACCAAGTACTTTTATGCTGTTGTATTTTTATACAAAGTAATTTTAAGAACTGAACATTAACAAATTTTTAATTCTTACAATAATTAATGAAACATTCAAATATCAATAAATTCATTGTAAAACTTTATAATACTACATAATTTTACAATTATCATAAGTATGATAGTAATATATATTCAAGCATTATAGTAACCCTCTGATAAATATCATAAATTTTCGTAAAAATTACGGATTCGAAACTTCTGTCTTTCTTGTCTCTCTTTCATAAGCTTCGTTTCTTCCTAACCTCTAGGTTTGAGATTCTATCTTGTAAAAATAAAAGATATTTTATAATATACTATTTTATATAAAAGTTAAAGATTAAATTTAATGATTTAATGATATTATAGTTGAAATATTATATGTATTTAATAAAATATATATCATTATATGGCTAATCTGAAAATAAACCGTGACTTTATAGTAATAAAACGTATGTATTAAAAATTGTTATGCTCTACTTTAAAAGAACAATCAATAACAATTCCTGAATGTTATATGCTCTTATAAGTTATAAGTAATGTCGCTTTTTTGGTTCAGAAAGATTAAGTACGAACATCACTTGCTAAAAGTATGAAAAAAGATAATAACTGTTAAGAATGTTTCCATATTACACAAAAAATTTATTAGGAGCGAAAGAAATATGGCTAACACATATTTTCTATATACTCTACCATTCGAAAGAAGGATTCGATAACAGTGGTTTAAATTATATTAAAGAATATTGAAATATGTATACTCTAGATATCAAAATGAGAAATGGAAAAGTTAGGAAAATGAGCTACATTCAAACTTTTAATGAAAGATTACATACTATAGTATACCAGGTATAGTATAGTATCCGCACAACTAAAACAAGTTATCTTTCAGATTGTAAAATAAAAACTGCCAGAATAAAATATGAATGATTTATATTTTGAGAACTACATTTTTTCTGCAAATATAACTATGCATGTATGTTTTACTGTTGTACTATTCCTTTAAATTGAAATTCGCTGACATTTTAAATAGATGTGCTAGGTTGTCCCAAAAGTTCCTTTCGTTTTATGAAGAAATAATAGATGCACAAAATTTTTGGTTTTATATTATTTAATTGAATCGTTCTATTGAGATAAAATGTATTATACATAATTGGATAAAATAATATAAAACAAAAAATATTGTGCATCTATTATTTCTTTATAAAACGAAAGAAACTTTTGGGATAACCTAATATTTATTAAAGGAAATAGATTTTCTTTAATAAACGTATTTAATTAAAACATCCCACAAAAACACCTAATCACTTTTTATCACCCTATTCCAACATTTCTTTACAAGATGATGATGTAATTTAATCTATATGAAAAAAGATATATCATACGTCCCTTAGCAAAGAAAAGGCACAATTGTGTAATGCATAAGCTCTGTAAATATCCAATTTTCATACTTGTAATTATCAAAATAAAATAATGAAGCTTTTTGCCAAGCATTAGTGATGAGTACTATACAATAATAAGCTTCAATCTAAAGAATTATAATATCTAATCTCGTGCAAGATTAAAAAACCATGCAAAATTTTTCTGGAAACTGGATAAGAAACAATATATTTTAACAGAGGCTTGTACTATACTAGTAAATAACTTGTATAAATTTGTACTAAACTAACACGAATTATAACTAATGCTAATAATTAAACAAATCACATGCAAGAATGCTGGAATCATCTGGCTCAACAGTCAAAAAATCCTTTTCATAGAAATCCACTAAATTCTTGTCATCTACTAACAATCTTCATATTGCAAAATTTTCTTATCTAACAAAAGCTTTCATGAAAAAAACCAATTTAAAAACGACATTACTTATCCCATAATTTAATAATACATTATACATTATGATGTTTAATAATAAATCTATTTTTATAGTTTTTAAAAAATTTCATACGTTTCATATTTAGAATTGTATCTAGAAGAATATCTAAAATAAATTTTGTTTAAATACTATAAATTATTGAAAAAAGATGTAAGTGATACTAAATCACACTAACATTTTGTAGAATGATCTTTGCATCTCTTTAACTTATATCACTATATTTATATTACTATATGAGAGATATTTAGTGCAATTTTAAATTGTGTGCCATAAAATAATTTAATTTACTTTGTAATTAAGGATAAAAATCATAAAGCTCTAAAAATCATTTTTAGAAATTTTTATGCAAACTTACATGTAGAGTAAGCTTATTTTATAAATTTACCTTCTCACTAATGAACCTTCTCCACAATGAATCTTCTCAAACTAATATTCTATGCTTAAATTATATTGTGATATCTAAGTATATGATTTCTACTAGATTATCACGGATTTAAGAGGGCTAAGATACCTAAAGAGCCAAAAAATGCACCTGTCCTTGAGATTTTTTAAAATAAATATGATCAAAAGTTTTTAACATGTATTTACAAGGGTATACTTAAATCTAAGTAAAATCTATTAATGATACAAACATCATTAAGAAACATTGAAAATAGTTGAAGAATTATATATTGCACCATTAAATTGAAACAAAATAATCAATTGATTTCCAGATGGAACATACTCTACATCAAAGATTAAATAACTATTCAATATTAGATACAGAATAATTGTACAAAATATCCATTTAACGTGAGCGTAAAAAATAATATTTCATTGTTTTTAATAATACGAAAAGTTGGTTAAAGAACTAATATGATAGTTAGCTATAAACTATATAGAGAAGAATATTGTAAATATTATCTTCTTATTGTTCTTAGAGTTCAAGAATTGACTAACATTTATTACATACTTGACTTTAATCAATTTAAAAATATAAGAATGTTTGCTTATAAATATTATACAACAACAGGTTGACAATTATTTCTAGAACGTTTTCAGGTTTAAGATAAATATTATTTTTTTAATGGCACGTATTATACTGCTCCTAACTCCAATAAAATAGTGGCATAAATCTTAGAAGTCTTAGGATTAAATATGTAGTAATCAAGATTTGATATTTTTATATAATCTATTAGGTTGTCCGAAAAGTTTCTTTCATTCTGTAAGAAAATAATAGATGCACAATGTTTTTTGTTTTATATTAGTTTACTGAATTATGCATGAACATAATAATAGAAATATAACGAAATGGATCATACCTAATTCAATAAAATAGTATAAAATAGAAATTGTTGTATATCTTTTATCACCTTATGAAACGAAAGAAACTTTTCAGACAAGATAATAAATTTTTATAGAGTAAAGATATTACTACCATATTACTATCATACCATTACTCCAGAAAACTATGTTATTCTCGTAAAAAACATTTTCATACAGTTTTAATTATACAGATATTATATGATAGAGATATTTCAGATGATAATTTTAAAATATTAATAAATTAATAATATTTTCTCTTGATCATTCATTGATTGATTCTCTAGATTAATTAATAAATTGTTGTTCGTATATAATGAAAATCCTTGCATATATCTACAACAGGATTTGAACATCATGTACCTATATGAATTGTCATTGTATTTTTTTTTTTTTTTATAATTATACAAAGTATTTAGAGAAAAAAACAGAGTTATTTTTAAGTTTAACACATTCACTACGTACATTTTTAATCTGAATTGACATTTAGTTTTAGAATTTACAAGGCAAGACCGGATAGGTCATACAACCAGGATGATGATAATTCCACGTGGGAAAATAAATCGAAAATACAGAATAAAATTGTTTCATATAATGTTTTATTTTCGAGAAACTAAAGATTGGAAATTTGTCAATAATACTTAAACTTAATTAAGTACCGACTAGTAAGTAAACGATCAGCGTTATTCTACATGCAAAAGTAAGTTGAAAATATAAAATGAAAATTTTCTGTTTATGGCATCATTTTTAAGAGAATAAAAATTGAAAACATATTTAGTTAAGAACTGGTCTGATTACATCTGCATAATACATTTCCAAATTTATTTTTCTCAAAAACAAATCGTTTTATGAAAAAATTCTATTGTATATTTAGACTTATTTTTTTCACGTTGAATCAGCCCCTACACGGTTGTCCCATTCGACTTCACCTTGCAAACTTACAATCAGAAAAACTATAAAACTTTAAAAAAATTACATTCAGAATTTAATATAATATAAAAAGTAATAATAATTTCTGAAAGTTATTGAAATAAACATATTAATGGTTCTTCTTATAAAATGGCAAACTTTAGTGTTTTTTAACTTAACATCTCTCCACAATAAATACATTTGTTTGTTAGAATAAGCTTTAGATAGTTTTATGAAAAATGTAAAAAATGATAATACTATTGTTTAAGCGAGATGAAAAAGTTTGACAGCAAGGGATATAATTTTAAAGTCGCGTTCATATTAACCACATAAATACATACTCTGCCTTCCTTCAGCAATTTTTGCAATATTGTATGTAAGGAGGAAACTAATAAATTAAACTGAAATAAACACGTATTCATAGTGAGCAAACAAGCTTATTCAAAATTATCTATATAATATCTCAATATTTTCTTACTATATATGTATACACATAATTCATATATGATTAATAAGTATGTTAAAATGTGGCAGATCATTTTCTAAAAGAAGTTAAATGACATGAAGTAACAAACAGATTGAAAAAAAAAAAAGAAAAGAATTACTATTAATAATCAAATTAAAAATATTCAGAATACATACATTGTGCATATTTTCACCTATATTTTCTTTGTTTGCATTCTCAAAGAAATTCTTAAATAAAATATTTTTCGTCATAATTCAAATTGTGCAGAATAAGAAAGAGTGCATCAACTAAATGTTATTTATGTTGTTGATAAAAGTATTTTAAATAAAATTGTCCCTTTAATACTAAAAAATTTATTGATAATTGTTCAGTTTCATTTAATCAAAAAAGTAAAAAAAGAAAAAAGAAAGATAAAGGAAAGGAAAAAGAAAGATGTAATCGGTACTTGCAAGAATTTTTAGAAAGTTATGTAATATTTTACTTAATCCCACCCCTGTATGAATATTTAATCACCAAGGATAGCTCTACAGATGTACACTATCATGCAACCATATATTTGGACACTTGATGCAATGCAAACAAAACATTTATATTTTTATTATATTTTTAGATTTCATGTTTATACAGAATGTTACATCAAAGATGAAATACGATCAATAAAAATTAATCTTTTCTAGAATGCTTGGTCACAATAACAACATAATTTTACGACACTTCTGTTTATCATATACGCATTTTCGTTATTTTTTTATAGATATATATATATAGATATGTCTATGCACTAAAGTCCTGAAAATTGGCACCATTTGACGACAAATTATCATGACTAGGACTTGATTTTAAATACAGATAAAGTCCATTATCTTGCCAAGCGTAGGAAAAGATCATGAAGATCTCATATATACGTTATAAAAGTGTAATTCAAAAAAGATCATAAATAAAAAATTCATTACTAAATTAATATATTATCTCATAGACATTTGATTTTGTATCAAGTTACACAACACAGTTATCTAGCTTCTGGATGTGTCATACAAATCCGAAAAAAATCGGTAACTGAAATCGATAGAATCATGGGGGAATTTTCCAGAGATGAGGATAACGACTCATCAATTAAGTAGTATTTTGTGATGATTAATTAATGAGGCTTTACTATATATATTATTTATGTTTATATATATATTAGGTTTTATATAATTTGATATTTTAAATACAAATTTTATGTACATCAACATTTGTAAATTACTTTGGGACTTCATATGAATCATTCATTCTTGCAAATCAACAAAATATGAAAAGATACAAATCTCTTAAACGATTGAAAATGTTTTATATTTTTATATATGTAATAGATTTTTAATTCTTATATAATTTTCTTTCAAGCTAAAATATATTAAAAACGTCATTGAAATTATATTTTTTATTTTGAACATCTATTAATTTAAGTAACTTCAAGAAATTGATAAACGTTGACTTATTTTAAAAAAAGTATAATGTTTTGTATTATAAAATATACTTAAAAATAATTTCCTTGATTTATCAAAAATAATAATTATGCTATGGATTTTTAAAAATTCCTTTTCTTTTTTATATTCGTACATTTCTAGTAAATATACGATAACATAAACAACAATTAATATTTGATAATTAATTGGAACGGATGGAGAATATTTTTAATTTCATTTTGTATAAACAATATAATTGTCCACGGCATAAAATATTTAAGAAATGGAAACATAAGTAATAATCTTACCTGTAAATTGTGGTATTCTCCACTATCTTCTGGTGGTGTTGGCTTAAATTTGCCACAGCAAAAGTTGCAACAACAACAGCAGCAACAACAGCAATAACATGCAGTTATCAGACTACAAAATATGAAGAGTGCCTGCAAATAACAAATTCTTTTAGTTTTAATTAATGTAATAATTATAAACTTATAACATATAATTAGTTGCATGATATTGACATCGAAGATTTAAATTTTGCATTTGGAAAGTAAGTTTATTAATTTCATAATTAAATGAAAATATTATAAATTTGAACAAATAAAAGACATTGTATTCACTCATCTGTATATTATATATTACTATTAATAAAATTTTATCAAATTCTAATCAAAGCTAATATTACAATAATATTTAGTTTATAGAAAAACTTAGAAATTATAATAAAGACTTACTTTGCACCAACCAGAAGTGACTACAAAATATGCATTAACATTTTCTTCACCAAATTGTTCCGCAACATATAATCCAAGAGATCCATAATTATCATATATATTTCTCTTAGTTAAATCTGTTAATATAGCATGTGCTCTATTTATTTCTTTAAACTGAAACATAATTATGTTTAAAAAGATGAACTTTACATAGTTATATTGTGTTAGATTAAAGTAATAATTAAAATTTTTTCCATATCCGATTTATAAGATTTATCTAAATATGCATACATCATTATAATAGGCTTTAAAATATAGTTGGATGGAAACAAATGTTATCACATTTAGTTCTATGACAAAATATTTAAATATTGTTCAATTTATAGAACAGACATGAACTCTTTTAAGAAAATTATAGAACTATTATATGAAAAACAAGATATACATCTCTATCAAAAGTTAAATTGCATACTTATTCTCACAACTAAAAATTGAAATTATATGAAATTGGAAGCAAACGAATCAAACTAAACTATAAAAGATGCAATTTCTCCTCATAATAGGAAAAGTAAGAAGAAATTGTTTTCATACAAATATGAAAGTTTGCAATTTACTGAGAAATTAAAATAAAATAAGTGTTAAACAGATATTTGTTATTAAAATAAAATGGATATAATTACTATTAATCTTTTCTAATGTATCGTATCAAACTCTACCTTATCTGCCGCTTCTGGATTATTTGGATTTTTATCAGGATGATATTTTAATGCTAACTTTCTATAAGTCCTTTTAATTTCTTCAGGAGTGGCAGTTTTTGGAATTTCTAATATTTGATACAGGGAATCTCCTGCTGTCCTAAAACAAATAAGATGTTAATGAATCAATTAACTATCAATTTTTATCCTAAACATAACTTGTCAATGAGCAAATATTATTTTCAAAATTACATTGAAAAATGTTTAAACTTAGACTATAAGATTAACTTATTGTAGTCCATATATAACATGGAATAATAAAAAAAAGAGTCTGATATATATAGTCTTTTTACTTATAAAATAATATATTTATGTAATAGAAATTTAATTTTAATAAAGAAGATATTTAAAAATGTCCAGGTTCTTGTCATAGAAATATCATATTATTATTAATATAATAATCTAATTGTATAAAAGAATTTATAAAAAAAAATATTTAACATATACTTTAAAAGATATTAATTAATTAAAATATGAGTTATAATTTATTTTAAAACAGATAATTATTCTTGATACTAGAAAACCTGTACTTCCTTCACAGTTTAAAATTTTTATTTCACTATATTGATTTTTACAAATGTACAAGAAATATTTTGCAAATTTGACAGTTGCAGTTAACGTTCAATTTTCATATTAAAATTTAAATAAATTAATTTATTTGGTTAGATATAAGACGTTTCTGGAGATAAAATACTAAATTAATTTTAATGACAGTCATCTTCAAACTTATGTTGAGGTGGTATGCACAAATCAACAAATTAACCTAGTAAATACATATTTTTATCGTTAAAGAATAAACTGTCAATTGATAGAATTATCATTTTTTATTTTCGTTAAAGCAAACAAATTAAAATAAAAAGTAAATAAAAAATAGAGATTAAAACATACAAGAATGAGTAGAAGAATAACCTAGAATTTTTCTAATTTTGCAAGATTTTCAATTCCTAAAATAAATGCACCAAATTCAGTGGAAAAATTTATGTTAATTTCCGTTAAAATAAAACAACGTAATTTTTTTAAAGCAAAGAAATAATTTAAAACGCAAAAGTTTAGACAAGGGTGGTAAAGTACTCACGACATCTTTCTTTTATCCATGTTTAATAGTAGCGTTACTCGATGATACGAAAAGTAGAATTAATTTTTTACTAAGTATTTCAAACTTTTGTCGTCCTGTATTACAGGTACATGATTTTCGTCATTAAATGAACGTCTTTTTGAATAGATGTTGTGTCGGATGATAGCAGGGAAAAGGATTCAATATTTTAGTACCAAAAGTGGACACAGTTGCACCAAATTGGCGCCACTGAAAGTATGAATTTAAGAAGTATAAATGAAGTTTGAAACTATTGGTACATATTATTTCAATTAGACGCACGGTTAACTGCATATTTAACTTATTCGCTACTTATTTGTAAATACTATATCTGCAAATTTTGTTTTCATATATATGTACAAGACAGGTTTCTAAATCAATAAAATATTATTATAAAGAAATGAAATGTTGTTAAGATAAGAAAATTTAGATTTTTTAATAATAAAAAGGTTTAAATTAGTAAATTAAAAAATCAATATCCAATGATAAATTACAATAGTGATTACATATATAGCTTTATTTAAGATAGTACATACAAAAAAGAAGTCGAAAATATAGAATAAAAATTTTTCGTTTGAGGTTTTGGTTTCGAGAAAATCGACTTTGAATTTTCGCTCAATACGCGTGCGGTGCGTTATAACGGATCTCACTGTAGATCGTTGTCTCGATGGAAAAATTAAAAAAAAAAAAATAAAAAAGAATTGTTATTCTATATTTTCGGCTTCTTTTTTCGCGTAGAATCACCCCCTTTCCGCTTGTACCACTAATTACCAACCACCCTGTATGTATTAAACTACCAATGTGTTACAATGTCTCTTATCATAATTTCAGTCGTTTATTGTTAAACTGTTTTACGTATTTGATTGGTATTAATTCTTTGCATTCCAGAATCGAGAGGCAACAATAGCTGGTTTTACGTTTTCTTGTAGGCAAAGCAACGGTTCGATATCAAACGTTTTGTTTTGTAACTAAGACCGAAGGAAAGAATGATAGGGTGCAGCTTGTAGTTTGTAGCTGTTATAAGTACCAGATAGGTTATATTGTACCTTGTACTAGTAGTCACTGTTTTGTATATAAAGAGAAAACACTCTAAAATAAATAGTCGTTTCTTTTAGATTTCATAGTACAGCATTGTTCTATGAATATTATTACTATTATTATTATAATATTGTATTTTAAATTATTATAATTATTATGCTAATCGTTTAATGATTTTCAAATATGTTCTCAGGATCATGATTTTGGCCAACTTTTTCCTATACATATAACTACTGCTCGGCTTTAGTTTTCGAGATAAGGATTGTTATATGCTCTTTGACGTGAGTTAGATATGGCTTAGGTTTAGGTTAGATTTATCTATGGACTCCCATTGGAGTAATTAAACATATAGGTACAATGCCATCGGTTCCAATATTCAAGGATATTGATTAACAAATGATATCGGTCGGATTTTTTCTTCCAATACATTTACCTAAGATAGGTTTACCCAAATTTTTTGGATACTTCATTTGATGACAGTTTCAAAAGGAAGATGGAAGCATGAGAACTTGTTTGTAGGAAAGAGTTGAGTTGTTATTTGAAATACATAAACTCAAAATTTTTGCTTTATTTTGTGCCGGGTGAGAATATCTCTGTAGTTGTGAAATACAAAGAGGCAGTTTCTTTTATTACCTAGAACCCAGAGGAGCCAATCAAATGGAAAATAAGAAATAAAAATAATAATAGGCACTGAAACAGGACACATTTGCAGTATTGTGGTACTTTGATAATAGTCTTTTGTCAACAGAACAATTGATAAGAATTGATCTTCCAGTGTCAACTAAAATTTCTTTACTCTTGTATAAAACGCTATTGGATAAAGCCCCAGTTTCTCAAGGACACCGTATGTTCATTGACTATTATACAAGCTGTTCTTTGGTCAAAAAATTATACAAGATGATGTGTTATCTAACCAAACAAATTCAAAGAAAATATGCAAACAAATAGAAAAAGATTGCCATAAAAGATAAAATAGAATGAAACATATATAGTAGCATGTTAACATTCAGCCAACCGCGCGCGCCATAGCGAGCTATTTCCCTCGGATAAGCTAACCTATACGTTGTCCACCGCGCATTTTTGCAAATATCAAGGACTGATATTCACTAGTTAAAAAACAAAGAGGTGTAAAAATTATTTAAGTGGTTAATTATATTTTGCGGTAATAATTTTATTTAACGATTTCATATATTGTTTATACGAAACATCAAATTAATAGTATATATTAAAAGTGTAAAAAATATAGGTAAAATTAAAAACATTAAAGATGACTAAAGATAAATAACACGACTTGAACGTGAAATAAAAAATTCATAATGCATTTTAATATTTTTTTACAGTGTGACATCATTCGATTATAACTTTATTTAGTCATAACTAATAGTGTAATATTTTAATTAATTTTAACACCACTAAATTGGTATATTTTATTATATACTGTACTTTATAAAAGCAGAAAAAATGACGCAATTAATTGGGAACAATTCCAGGCAAACGATAACTAATAATAACAATAACAAAAGAGAAAACGCATTGCTAAAGTCAAAAAGGGAGATCTTCCCATTGGGTCACCCAGCGATGTTCTTCACAGAGGGGAGATCTCCTCATTCGGTTGGCTAAGTGTTAAGGAAATAATACTTTGATCCTGGTTTTGGAAAATAAGCAGATTACAGTAATGTTGGCAAATTGGGACAATGGTGGAACTAGTTCTGTCAAAAGGATACTATGGAATGATACTAAAATTATTGTAGAAAAATCTAATATTCTATATTACATAAAATTTATGGATGGTGTTGATTAAGCAGACCAATGCAGTTTAACATATTCCTTTATGAGAAAAACTCTTGAGTGGTGGTATAAGTTATTTTTTGAAAGATTAGAAATATCTATTATCCTGTATAGAAATTCATACATATTATATAATTTGTAAAAAAGCAAAGAAACGAATGTCCACTTAGTCATTCGAAATATATTAAGTTACTAGTAAATCAATTTAGAGGTGATTCTGATGACAGGATTGTAATGTATTAATTCAAACAGCTATAGAATTAATCTTTTATTTTTTTCCTAAAGCTATTACCCAATATATAAGATTAACAGTAATTTGTAAAGTAGAATAAAATGTAATTGTAAATTCTTATGCTAAGATACTTCCCAAGAATAACAATTTTATTAATAATTATTATATAATACAAAAAGATAAGGAGTATTAAATATTAAGGAAAAAAAATATTAGTCAATAAATTTTTAATGTGGAGGTAGATATTGATTATCTGTAACCAAAGTGCTCTTCCTATAATCACTTGACGCTGAATTTTCATTGTTTGCATCATATTTGATATTTATTTTGTTTCCTTCAACTGTAAAGTTGGACATGATTTTCTTTACCCATGCTACATCTAATGAAGCAAACACAGCAACCTAAAATATAAAGCAGAGAATTTGTATTTATCTATTTCTGATTTTAAAATTTATTAATTTTAGAAATAAATAAAATATATTAAGATTGATTTATTAATTTAATATAAAAGTAGCATACGATATTCGAATATTGATTGATTCCTATAACTAATATGAGTAATTGTATCGACAAACACAAAAATACAAAAACAGTATTCGAAACATATCTTTTTCTATTTCTTTATTATTGTAATTAATAACATTAATGTAGATATAAATAGTAATATTTCCAGTAATATATGATAATATCATTATCTTACTTGATTTGATGGATAGCATCCTGTATCTTGACTATAAATTCCACTTAATTCATAAGCACCATGCTCATTTTGACAAGCAAGAGGTCCCCCAACATCTGTGTCACAAATATTATCTTTTTCTTCTTTGGGTGTAGCACAGATAGTTCCATTTGTAACATCAATTCCAAGATTTGTGCTTAGTAATAACACATCTTTGCAACGTTCTCTGGATAGTATGTTCATGCTAATTGCATTCATGATTGCACCAGCGTAATGTGCTAAAACAGAAATATTTATGTATTTAATCATTTAATTTGGTTTAAGTTCCGGATTATCTTGATTCTCAAAAATAAATACAATCATAATAACATGTATACAGTAACATATATACAAAAATAATAAAATTTTTATGTTAGACTGTACTCGCAAACAGAATCAGAATTATGAAAGAAGTAACATTATTATGATAAACAATATTTAACTTTTTATTTACGTGTAAATTATTTATTTAAATATAATAGACGATATTCCTCGCTTAGTTACCTTGAAGAATGGACTTTCCCCAACCAGTGGCAATGCACAATTTATTATTTTGCAGTAAATGCTTTGAATCAGGCAGACATATGGGACTTATATGACGATCGAAAGTAATGGGATTTTCGAGATGCAACATTGTGAGGTCGTATTCTCCAGGTTTTCCTTCATAATAAGGATGTATACTTATGGATGATACATTGATGATTTGGAAAGGCAATGGTTCCTCATGTTTTAATTCGTACCCCAATTTCCATTCTCCCAATTTTATCAAAATATCTTCCGGCAGCAGACTTGAATAATAATGTAAAATATTTTGATGAAGAAAATAAAATGATAACAGTTTATTCTAAGCTAATTACATATATCTTACAAACGGTAATATTAAAATTAAATAATCAAATGCAAAAAATAATAGGATTATAATAATAAGCTTATAATATAATAATAATAAGCTTAATAAATATAATTACTATAAAAAGTAAATTTCACTTGCAGCAGAAAGCGCGATATCCATGTACCACGAAAGAGGTCATCATTTGTAATAGAAAAAATACTTTTTATTTAATAAAAGTATATTGTAATATTCGGTCATGTTTTTGATAATAGTTCTAGAAATGTATCTGAATTTTAAATGTCCGTAAGTATCTTAGGTTGCATCATTTGCATATGTTCTTATATTCTAAGAGATTTTAATAAGAAGTTGCGTACACCTTTCCAAATATGGTGACTATGCTATATTCTTCGCTTAAATTTTGTGGGTGGATCATTCGGAAATTTCGTTACGAAATTTAAAAAAATTTTGGAGATAAAATATTTTCATGATTCATAAAATCTGCATTTTATTGAATAATGCATACACCTTCTTTTTTTTCGATGACTTTTTACTGTTTATTGAGTAGCTTCACGAATCCGTTTTCGGAAAATTTTTTGTCCTTTTCTACTATTAATACTTTAGGCCTATAGAAGTTTATATAATATAATAATATAATATATTATGTAATAAGATATTATATAATATATAATACATTATATATAATAATATATAATATTATTATATTATTATTATTATTACTTAGTCCGTGCCTTTCGGTTTTACATCTCGTTTATCTATTACGCTTTTTACATTCTATCAGTCTTATGGCGTTATCACCTTACTACCTCCTCCCTTATATCTATCTATACTTTTTTCCTTGTCTATCTCTCTTTTCTTATATATCTACCTCCCCTCTTATCCATTCTATATAATATTATTATATTATATACCTATATAACAGTATCTATTCGTTGTACCGTTTCTAATGTGTAATTTGTAAGTTATGATGAAGTTAACCTGTGTTTAATTGAGATATTGTTCTGTAAGAGCAAATTCTCGCTAAATTATCGAAAATAGAAAATAAATTGAGATTTTTTGACAGATTTCATTTTTATCAATAAATTTGAGTTAAAATTGAAGTAAAATGAATATACATATATATTTATTAGTTTATGAAAATATTTTTTTTTATTTCTTCTATTTTCCATCTGAACAAAATTTTTAAGTGAAACTGAAACTTCTGGGCAAAATAATACAAGAAAAATATATGAATATTTCCAAGCATATTTTGATCTGTGTAATTAATTATTACTGCCTGTTTTTATATTTAGTATGCTTACCCGTAGATGCAATTAGCTGCTGTTAATACATCTTGATTTCCAATTAGAACACCAGAACAGAGAATTTTCCGTTCCTTTAAATGTAAAACCATCGCTTGCCATGGAATTTCTGCAAAAACTGTTTTGGAGTCCGTTTCTTGTGATTGTTTTAATACCTGACAACAGAGAACAATCCTTTTAAAAACATTTTTTATTTACTCATATTCAGAACGTTAATTGTTTCATATTGTTGCATATTTCAATTTCTTATGTTAATAAATAGCGTACTTGTAATATGTTAAATGGTTTTATTGACATCCTAATTTTTTTCGAACGTTTTATTACATCGATTATTGTTCTCTGTATTATCGTAATTTACATTCTTTTAAAAGATACGACTCGATTAATATGTGTAAATATTGAAGCATTATAATTACAGTCAAATGCGATATAATAAAATTGAGATGTTCGTTGAAAATAAAGTGAAGCATATTTCGAAAAAACAATTAACATTTTTTGACTCTTTCACACCTTACACGTATTACACGTGTTTGAATTTCATGACTTTAATGTAGTATGCATAGATGCATATGTACTTGTACATTTACAAAAGAGTTCGCATAGAAATGAGAAAATTTCTTCTTTTATTTCATTTCATTTTCACAGGAAATTGAAATAGGAATACATCCTACATATACTGCTTTCACATTTTATGGCATATGCTTATAAAAGTATTTGCTTTTAAAAGTAAAATGCTAATAAAAGTATTCTACATTGTGATAATTTATGTAGATATTACAACTCAATGATAATTCAATAAAAATATTTTGTAATGTACAAAATAGATTTTCGTTCATAGCAAAATTAGAAGAGACAAGGGGACGGCTTGATAATTATAAAAATAAAAATGTATGGTTTTTATGTACGATGCATTATTTTGTCGAAGGTGGAAATACATTGAAAACACAAAAATATACAAACTACTGCTAATTGTTTACAAGAACAAGCTGAATGTGTACTTATAAAAATATTTGTAATTTTGTATGTATGTGTACACTTAGTCACTTGACATTTAAATGACGCCATCTAGCTCATAAATCTTATTAATTTGTGTTTCAAAATGAAATTTCGAATTTTACTGTGGTGAACAGTCTTCCCGTAAGAAATTCGGTAAGAAAAGCTTTTGATAAGAAATTCTGTGAGTTTAGCATAGCTTGTTTCTGACACGTACTGCACTGCCCTTCCATGATAACGTCATAACGTTATTGTATATTTAATTATATGTATATGTATAAAATTATATGCAGTTATTTTTTCTATTTAATAATAATAATAGTAAGAATAATAGTTTATATAATTAGTAATAGTTTATTTTTTCAGTCCTCCGGGCATGAAAAGGAACTCGGGTTTACATTGTTACTACAATTTTTTTTATTTTTATATTATATAAATTTCGGCTGTTTGATTTTTTAGTCGGTTTTAATAATTTCGTAATAAAAATTGGCACAAAGGAAATAGAATTCGTCGCATTTACTGACACTTATTTAAAGATACTTACCTTATTTCTAATACCACATCCTGATCTTGTTTTTGGCGTGTTAAAACCACTTCTGTCATCTATGCCCGTATTTGGAGGAACTAAAAATACTTTTTTCGTAGAAATATCGGAATTTTCTGGTATTAACACGGGCTCAACTTCTTTGGAATACTCTACATTGCGATTGATTGCAGGTATTTTAGTAGTTTTTGCAGGTATATTGGGTAGTTTTACTTTTACAATATTCATAAACGTTGGAAATCCTTGTTCGTCAAATCCACCGGAGTAATTTGCCGGAAGATTCCCTGTTGGCCAAGGATCTACGTAGTTTGGATCCCGACAACATTTGCCAATTATTCCATTATCAGGATTTTTGCAACTCTATGAACAAGTATAACAACGTTTCTTGTAAGCTGAGTTTCGAAAATTCAATAAAAATATTTATCTTCAAATATTCTGTGCCTAAATTAAAAACTTAAAGATTTATTCATTTATATTTAGTAAAGATTATTTCTTTAGTAAATCTTTTACTTGTATTTTCAATGTTCTTAT